TGTCTATCTATCCCCCTACCTGTCTATCTGTTTGTCTGTCTATCTATCCCCCTGCCTGCCTGTCTGTCTGTCTACCCACCTACCTGTCTATCTATCCACCTACCTGTCTATCTGTTTGTCTGTCTATCTATCCACCTGCCTGCCTGTCTGTCTGTCTACCCACCTACCTGTCTATCTATCCACCTACCTGTCTATCTGTTTGTCTGTCTATCTATCCACCTGCCTGCCTGTCTGTCTGTCTACCCACCTACCTGTCTATCTGTCTGTCTGTCTGTCTGTCTGCCTGCCTGCCTGCCTGTCTGCCTGTCTGCCTGCCTGTCTGTCTGTCTATCTATCTGTCTAAAATCTATCTATCTATCTACTATAGGGTTAGATCTCTGCCACAATTCTGGGCGCGAAAGATCATATTTTGAGGGCACAAAAGTGCATTTGAAAATGTTTATTTCGCAAAGAAAAAAGTATTCTGAGCGCACTAAAATCTATTTTGTATTTAAAATAATTTTTTGGATGTGTGCAGACCTCTTTTGCGCGTGCAGCGTTTCACTAGCTTGCTCACCTGATGTCCGCCCTCAGTGCTCTCTTGCTCAACACAACCCAAAGTTACAATATGCCATAATTCCAGCCAATCAGAGACGATGCTGCTAAATTCTGATTGGCTGTCTTGACAACCAATCACAACATTCCTTGCATTGCTGATGACAGCGGAAGAGGGAAAATACAGTGCATGCATAATTATTATGCAAGTTGATATTCTGATTATATTTTTTTCCAAGCACATTTTACCAATTCCAAACAACATTAATCTTAATAACTACTATTAATCTTATATTTAATCACTTATAACCTATATATTATTTTTCATGATGGCTGGAAGTGAAAAACACCTTATATTCAGGTTGGATTGCTCGGTTGGATTGAGCAAGTGAGCCGTCTGCATTTAGCAAGCAGGGCTCGCTGCATCCTGCGGTGGACATCCAACCCCGCCCACATCCAAGTGTGCCGTCGGAAGTCACGCCCATATCAAATACGTCACCGTGTGATTCCCCATCGCCGTACGGGAAACCCGGAAGTATGTCGAAGCAATTTAGGGCAATTTCGGGGATCTAAATAAAATAATGTTGTCCTTCGTTTTACTAATACACGTTTTCTTATTTTTGTAAAGGATGTCTAGGCTAAAATGGCACAACTTAAGTCTAATATAGCCTATGTAATATGTCTAATATACGGAGCTAATTTCGTCATCATAACAGCCTGTAAAACGCTTGCATTTATTAAATTAGGCTAATTGTTAATAAAAACCTTTAAAGCTTACCTTGTTCATTTATGTGATGAGATAAATTCACATTTATTACGATCGATTTTGACCTACCTAAGACAAATTTTGAATGTATCAAATTTAAAGGGGACAATTAAATTTTGGTGTTGTAAAAGTAAAAACACTTAATTTTCTTTCATTTATAATTGTAATTTAATTTTCTAAAGATGTGTTCCACTTATCATAAAGTGTTAACATTTGAATGACAGAATCAACAGTTCTTCATATGCAGTAGGCTAAAAATACATAGGCTAAATAGAGATTGCTTGCTTTAAAAGATTATAAACAGTAAGTAACATGACATTGACCTTCAGGGCTTGTTCATCAACACAACTTGACATGAAATGTGTCCAGGTTCTCCACATACTTAAAGATGAATAAAAAAAGATTGTTTCATTGGGTATTTTTATATTGATTATTTTACAAAAATATACACTACCAGTCAAAAGTTTTTGAACAGTAAGATTGTTATTGTTTTTTAAAGAAGTCTCTTCTGGACACCAGGCCTGCATTTATTTGATCCAAAGTACAGCAAAAGCAGTAATATTGTGTAATATTTTTACTATTTAACCCTTGTATGGTGTTCGGATCTGTGGGACCCATTTTCACTTTAAAAAAAAAATGCTACTGTTAATTATTTTTCAAACTCAGACTCATTGGCCTTGGTTCATTTTCTGTGAAGAACATTTATCAGAACAAATTTTCAATGACCACTCATTACTTGTTTTGTAGAAGCATTTTTCAAATTTGAACTAGCACCTCATGACTACACGTTATGTACAAGAAGCTGCAAAAGACACAGGCACAAGTGGAATGTACAAAACATGGGTGACATTAATTTTTAAGTAAATATAATGGGCGATATATTGTGTCACCAAAAATGTCATGTACATATATTGTGCGATAAGTCGATATATTGATTATTGCAACAGGCCTAGCTGTGATCAAAACTGTATTTTCAGCATCATTACTCCAGTCTTCAGTGTCACATGATCCTTCAGAAATCATTCTAATATGCTGATTTGCTGCTCAAGAAACTATTATTATATTATTATATGATATATAACAGTTGAGTACAGGTTTTTTTTTTCAGGATTATTTGATGAATATAAAGAAGTTGAATAGAAAGGTCCAAAGATCAGCATTTATCTGAAATAAAAAGCTTTTGTAACATTATACACTATACCATTCAAAAGTCAGATTTTTTATTTTTTGGGGGGAAAGAAATTACAGAAATTTATAATTTTATTTAACAAGGATGCTTTCAATTGATCAAAAGTAATGATAAAGACAAAATATTTCAAAAGATGTCTATTTCAGATCAATTCTGTTCTTCTGAACTTTCTATTCATCAAAGAAATAATGTCTTTTGAGCAGCATATCAGAATGATTTCTGAATGATCGTGATTGGAGTAATGATGCTAAAAAAAATCACCTTTGAAATCACAGGATAAATTACATTCAAATAGAAAAAAGTTATTTTAAATAGTACAAATATTTCAAAATGTTACTGTTTTTGCTGTATTTTGGATCAAATAAATGCAGGCTTAGTGAACAGAAGAGAATTCTTAAAAAAAAAAAAAACTTTAAAAATCTTACTGGTCAAAAACTTAACTGGTAGTGTATGTTTAACAAAAGATCATCGGTCTGAGCAGTTGAATGATCAGATAAACAGTTCTTCATATGCAGTACACATACATAGGCTACACAGAAAGATTGCTTGCTCTGATAGATTATTCACAGAATATGGTATGGACCTTTAGGACAATTTGACAATTTGATATGAATATGTCCAGCTCCTCCAGATACTCAAACATGAATAAAAAAACATCTCTTGCTCCATCCGATTCTCCCCCCAGGTAGTCTTTGATGGCATTCTGTTGATTTTTACCCTCCATCTGGAGAAAGGCAGGCCCTTTCACCTCCCCACGGAATAACTGACGGTGACTCTGTACCACGCTGGACCAATGCCCCTTACAAACTTCCAATTTATGTCCTCTTGGCGCTCCTGTTAAAAACAGAGAATGCAAACGTATTGGGGGGTATATGTGTCCACTGAAAAGTATTTACCTCATCATTTACCTCTACGTTCTACATACAAGAATATTTATTATTTTAAACCACAAAAATCAATCAATATCTAGAGAAAACGTCCCCTTGGAATTATGAGGTTCTATCTGACATTTTTGTCAAAATTGAGTTATTCACATATTCTTATTCTGTGACAACTTATTTACATTATGTGATAGATTCTGTAATGTTGTGTACATTTTGGGACTTTTTATTTAAAAAACAAAAAGGTTCTATCTACACAGTTGAATGGAATGCAAAAACTTTGAAGCTCAATATCTCAAAACTACTCAGAATGCAGATAGAACCTTATAATTCCAAGGCGACGAAATGCTCTCACCATACCTCCACGCACCACTGCATGGCTTATGTGGTCCTCCAAGTGAATTGTAATGAGTCATTTTCTTTTCTGATGAAACTGCAGTAGGGACCCCTCATCCCGGCAGAACTGCTCTGCATCAGGCTTGGACTGAAAATGCGTAAAATGCTGTAAAACATGACTAACATTGTGATCTTTCCATTAATATAGAAGGATACAAAGATAATTTGTGACATACATGGAGTTATCCAGCAAGACAGTGAAATAATGTAGTTGCTCAACCAAGTTACTGTGAAGGGTACTGTGATCAGTGTATATCATTAAAGATGTCATATGTATGTGAGTGAGTGTTATGTGTGAGAGGGATGAAGTGTGTGTGTGTAAGTGGGTGAGATGAGTGTTATGTGTGTGTGTGTGTGTGTGGTGGGGGGGGGGGTAAAAATAACTTTTGACGCTGATGAAGCTTCGGGATGCTCGTCACAACATACATACATAAAAAGTCCAGTAACACAGAAGACAATACTTTACAATGACAACCATTGTGGAAAAGAAGTGTGCTTAACTGTATTGAATGTGCACTTGTATTTTGTTGTTGTTGTTTAAATATACTTGCAGATAATATAATATTAATTAAATAAAATGCCACATACAGTAAGTGTACATACGTAAGTGAGAGTATGCTTTCATGATTTTGTGAGCGTGTTATTACACACACACACACACACACACACACACACACACATATATACGTATATATATATATATATATATATATATATAGATAGATAGATAGATAGATTTATATGTATATTTGTTGCTAAACTGTTTTTTATACACATGCACACAAACGACGCACACATTCTTAAAGTTGTCAACGTTTTAAGTCTTGATTAAGACGAAAGATCTTTTTTTAAATTTTTTATTTACCGACACGGCAAACAAGTAATTTTTTTAGCGGTTGGCAAACAATACGACTTACCTTCTTATCGATGCTTCTTCCTGCTTCAAAAGGAATGAGACTGTGACGTATTCGGATATGGGCGTGACTTCCGAGGTCACACTTAGATGTGGGTGGGGTTGGATGTCCACCGCAGGCTGCAGCAAGACACCCCTCGCATTTAGAGAGGAGCAGAGCACTGAGGGCGGGCATCAGGTGAGCAAGCTAGTGAAACGTTGCACGCGCAAAAAAGTGTGCACAAATCCAAAAAAATCTTTTAAATGCAAAATTGATTTTAGTGCGCTCGAAATACTTTCTTCTTTGCGAGACAAACATTTTCTCGAAAAAAACTCATTTGCGTGGGTGCAAAATGCACTTTTGCGTGCTCAAAATATGATCTTTCACGCGCAGAATTGTGGCAGAGATGTAATCCCATACTGTCTGTCTGTCTGTCTGCCTGCCTGCCTGCCTGCCTGCCTGCCTATCTATCTGTCTGTCTGTCTGTCTGTCTGCCTGCCTGCCTGCCTGCCTGCCTATCTATCTGTCTGTCTGTCTGCCTGCCTGCCTGCCTGTCTGTCTGTCTGTACAGCTATACATCTAATACATAAATATATCTGAACAGTAAAAAAAATCTTTAGATTTTTTTGGGCTGCTCGGTTTGCTGGATTTACATAAAAAGTTGTGCTCTAATAACACCCTACATTCACAATCCTCAGTTTACAAAATCACTTCACCTTCACTCCAACGCAAAGTGGAACATCCCAGATAGGGATGCTGCTGCTTTCTCTCGTGTTCACACCCCTGGAGAGATGCGGTGGAAATGTCCAGCCAGACAGACATGTCAGTGCTGTGCTGCTGTGTGCTCCTCTCATCCTCCTGCTGCCGCTGCAGTGAGTCTGTGCTGCACAGGGCTAAAGCACTACATCCCGCCCTCTGCGTCCCCTCAGGTGTACAACACACCTCTACGGATATTACACACCGGGACTGCTGTGAATACACACGATTCTTGCGGGACAGACATGTCACATTCAGAGAGTTTGTGAAATGTATTCGCTTCATCAGGAATAAGAGGAGATCGCTGGCGAACTTTACGCTCATCTGACATGTTGCTGCTCATCTCTATAAGAGACCACAACACACTTTAGCCCGACACACGGGCCAGAGGAGACGAAAAACGCGGATTTGATCTCTTCTGGGTCGCTCAAGCCCTTATAACCCTGTTTTTTATTTAACGTTATTTATTTGAGGCGACAACATTTAGCCTCAACTTGCTTCAGCGCGAGCAGCTAAAGGAACAAAATGTCTGCCCGGGCTGCCTCTAATAAGGTTTGTGATGTTTTAATAACGTTTCACATTCAATGTCAGCAGTTGTTAGAGCTAAAAGATGAAATATAATTAAACAAGAGCTTAAAATGTGTGCGACAGATGCCTGAGGTCATAAATGTGCGCGTTTAGCTTCAGCTAACGGAGATTCCTCAACTTATGCTAACACGCTATGTGCGATAGTTTACAGCTTTAATTTAACACAACGCTTTAGTTTTGTTTCCAACTTTTCTTTTATAACTATAAATGCTCTAGGTTTGTTGTTTAGCCTTTGTTTGGTAAATGTATCACGTTTGTTTTGTGTGACAGTGACATAAATATGCGGTTAACCACTTAGCCGAAGTGGTTTCCAAAGTCTGTTGGTTTCATGAAGCTTTTAAACGTTGGATTTTTAAACGTTTTGAATTTTATGGTGATAATTTTGACTCGTCTTCTCTGTTTTTAAACAAATAGCTGACAAAGCGTTGCAGTTACAGGATCGTGAGTTATCTGAAAACATGTCAGAAAGTGTCTATAGCGGTTATAAAATGTGTTATTGAAATTTTCGCTGTATTTCAGGATTTAAATGTTTTACTGTATTATATAACGTGTTCGTGTGAGCTGGTATTTATAGATGGTGTCAAAAGTGCTGGTTTGGAAGCGTCCCATAGCAAACAGACACAGCTGATGACAGGAATGATAAATATCAAACTCCTCAGCTGCTGCTCAGAGGATGCTTTTGCTTTTAGTTTAACAGTGTGTTAACCTGTCAACTTTCATTTGAAGCCCATAGAAACTTTAGGACAGGAAACTAGGTAAATGAGATAATGAGCTGTCACACTGACACAGTTTCTGTTGGGCGGGTCTTTTTGTTGACACCTGTTGAAGCCCCTCCCACAACAGGTGAGCGTCCTGAAACAGGTGGAACATCTCAGGAATGTGACTGCAGCCCTTCCTCCCTGTCATGAGTCACCGGTTGCTTTCCTGTCTGTGATGTCTGGTTAAGCCGAGTAACATTAACCTGTTTGACCGGATCAGCCGACAGAGCATGATTTACTAGAGCTGTTTTCATGATGCATGACATGAGTTATGATTTGACTTTTTTAAAGGGGTCATATGATGCTGCTAAAAAGAACATTATTTTGTGTATTTGGTGTAATGAAATGTGTTTATGCGGTTTAAGGTTAAAAAAACACATTATTTTCCACTTACTAGTGTTGTCACAGTACCAAAATGTCAGTATTCGGTACCAATACCAGTGAAAATCCCCGGTTCTTGGTAGGGGTGTGCGATATTTATCGTCTGCGATAATATCGTAATTGTTGTTTTAGCGATGCGCGATTTGACATTATCGAGTATTTTGCAAAAACAATTCAAAACATCCCTACAGAGCGCACGCATACATTACGTGAAATCTAGACTAGTGCGTATTTAGTGTGTTTTCTTTCACTGCATGATTCAGTCTATTAAAATGCATTTAGAATGATCACAAATTCAAGACATGATGGCAGAAAATTTATATATTTATACCACTTCATATAGTTATTCAATTTCACACGAAGAGTGCCGTTTTTCTCCAAAAATTACCATGATTACAAATGTGACATTGAATTCAATAAACAATAAGTTAATTAAGAGACTTACGTTTTACACACCATATTGCTTGTTTTTGCTCTATTTCGCCAACAAAAATCATTCCGAATACAGCCATCTTTCTTTTTCTTTTCTTTTTTTTTTCATGTTTTAAATCATTTCTAATATCAGTATTCAACGTTTTATGTTTAATATATCAAAACATTATTTATGCATTTGTAATTGCAGGTTAAATGCATTCATGTCTTGCATTAAACAAAATACATGTGTGTAAATACATCTAAATGCCACTAAATGGCAGCTTCTGTGTTGATTTCATTTGCTTGGTAACAGCCCAAATGTCTTATTATTCTAATTCACTGATTAAATGTAAGAATTTGACTCAAAAGATAATGGACACTTTTAGAAAAAATGGCTTTATATAAGTAAAAATGCCCATAAAATGCAAAAATCAGTTTAAACTTATTGGAAAAGATTAATTTCTGTCAGTATGAACTGACCACCACACAGAATATGAAGAATATTAAAAACATTAGGAGTCAGCTGTCTTCGGCAGTCCTTAAGGTACCAGCACAATAACTCACTCCGCAAAATATCGTCTAATTATCGTTATCGATAAAATCCCCAAAAATATCGAGATATAATTTTTTGTCAGTATCGCACATCCCTAGTTCTCGGTACCAATTTCGGTACCAAAGCAAAACACAAAAACATGCTAATTGAACAACATTTTTATTAATAACGTTAAACAAAAATTCAATGTTCAAAACCAATGCCATTCTTTATACTTATTTAAAAGTGTTTCAAGTTTTCCCACAAGTAACAAAAGTATGAAAAAATAAACAAGTTTCACCCAAAAGTTTAGTCATAGTTCTGCTGCCACTGAAAAACATCTGTAAACTGTTGTCTGTTTTAGGGTTTGCTGGTGTGTTTCAGGATCTTCCTTCAGTCTGCAGCTGTAAAAGAACAATATAATATACTTAAGTAAAGCAATGGGCTGAGTCTGACCAAATGCAACATTAGATCATTGACACCAGCTAAAATATAACTTTTCAGAAAATAACAAACCTCAGTTTTTATAATAAATTTAGATAAGATTACAAATATTAAGTGTATATCAAATAGATGCAAACTGTAGTATTAAAAACACTTTACAATAAGATTGTATTTGTTAGATAACATGACCTAACAATAAACAATAGTTATATGGCAATTCTTCTTCTTAGGGTTCATTTCAATGTTCAATCTGTTAAAATTATTTCATACACAATGAACAAACATGAATGATCAAGTGTTTGTATTAAATAACATTCACAAACATTAATGAATGTTTTAAAAATATATTGTTCACTCTCTGTAAGATGTTACTAGATCTAACTCGCGTTAGAAAACATTAAGTCATTGTACAGTAAAGTCTATACAGGAGATAAAATGTGACTTTACTTTTATTTAATCCAAACTGTGTATATATTTAATTTTTAAAGGGCTTTTAAAACCTGCTAGAGCTATTCAGCCAAGAATTACAACTAACTAACTAACTAAAAAAAACAAAAAAACTACTTTTTCTGACGGACTGATAAACACTATATGACATAAACACTGTTAACCATACATTTGTACATTCTCTAACACGCATATTTTGGTTACACAGTTCATTTAAAAGCCTCTGGTGTGTAAATACCATTATGTCCTCTGGTTCTTTACAGTAATAAAAGTTATAGGAGCATTAAATAGTTAACACAGAAATAATTTTTAACAAAATTCATTCTAATGCTCATTATGTTAGTGTTAGCTGCGCTTATGCTAACGATTAACTACGTATACGCTAACGGCAATGTTTATTTCAATCCGAAATTCAAATTAAAATATGGAATAATATTCATTACAGAAGCTCTAAATATTAAAAATGTAATTGAAACTTACCTGCTTGAACTTAATCGTGGTGTTTTGTTAGTTTGATGCGTTTCATCCTCTTGAGGTCGCCACTGCTTTTAAGAAGAGGTTGCCAGGTTTTCACAAGAAAACCCGCCCAATCGCGTTTCGAGGGTTCCCCCGTTAAAAGTCGCGTTCCGAGGATAAAATATGCATGTTTTGGCGGGGTTCCCCTGGCATGTGACAGAAATGTTACGCCCCCTACCATACTGTGATGCCCTGTCTGGCTGGAGCGATGAGACAAAAACATTAAAACCCATTATAAATGAGGCATTTGTTGCATCCAGTGGGGACATAATTATGGATTATA